GCCGGAGGGGACTCCTCCGCGTCATTCCTTCGAGGTGCACTTCACCCCGACATGGCTCGGGATTTGTATACCCTGCCCTTGGAGGCTTTGCTTGGCAAGTCTGCCAAGTCCTTGACCTGGGTAAGTGCTTCTCCTTCTTCCCGTTTGGGATTGTTTCCTCGACGCTGTTCTTCCTAACCCGTCTTTCTTCTTATAGGGCCTTCACTATGCGACGGCCCTGATGGATAGGGTGCGTGACGCTGGCCGGGTCATCGGGGGCCTCGTCAGTCGCAACGCCGAACTCCGCCGCCAGGTCGAGGAGGCCCGAGCTGGGGCCGGTCCGGAGGCTATGGCGGCCACCGAGAAGCGCACGGCGGACTCGGAGGCGGAGGCGGCTCGCCTAAGGTCGGAGCTCGAGGCCTCCAAGCACCGTAGGAGGGGGTATGTGAAAGACCGCTTATAGAGCCGTCCACTCACCTCGGAGTACCACACATGCGTACAACGCAGGCGTCGAGCCGTAGCCTCGTCGGGAGGAAGGGTCTCGTCCCGCTTGAAGCGTAGCAACTCTTGTACCCATGTGATTGGCGCACCGCCCGAGGCCACCGTTGCGATTTCGATGGCACGGCCAGGGAGCTCCTCGACCTCGGGCTAGGCTTGGGGGGCTGGCTTTGACGCCAGCTTAGCTAGCGCATCGGCTCGCTCGTTCTCTCCCCTCGGGACATTAGATAATGTAAAATGAGGGAACTTGGCGGTCAGGTTCTTTACTTGTGCTAGGTACTTCGCCATTATCGGGTCCCGAGTCTCGTATCCCCCGCTGAGTTGCTCGGCTACCAGTTGCGAGTCGGTGAGGACGCGTATGGTGACTGTTGGGAAATCTTGGGGGCGACATCACATGCACAGCGGAAGAACAAGAAAACAAAATCCCCGATTCCCAAAAAGATGTTCGTCGCCGTGCGAAGATTGGTGCGCAAAATCCGTGAAACTTAAAACTACGTATAGAGTAGATTGTGTTACCTAGGGAGATCGTATATCCCTGTTTCCTTACAGATCCTTAGGAGGGTGAAGGAGGTCAAGCGTCCTCATCTCTAGCGGTGATCCACACAGCAGGGTTGCGACGATGCTCCTCAAAACTCCAGGCCTGCTCTGAGGTGGAGATGGAGAGGAGAATAGGAAAGGCAAGCAAAGGCTCTCTAGCCTATGAGGCTCTGAATCCCTCCTATTTATAGAGGTCCCCTATCAAACACTAATGTATCTTTGTAATAATTCACTTGACTCATCGTCTACGGACGTACTAGGCCACTACGCCGTAGTCCCCAAACGATACAGGGGAATCCAATCCATTGGACCTGTCTATCCTCAGTTACCGTGTACCTATAGTCCCTAATCCATCTAATATCCCAGAGACCGTATATCGAGCATGGTGTTGTCAGACCCATACGGTTTCTACTCGAGTCTCGCTCTAATCGGATTCTCCCGGAGAACTCTTTCTCTCTCAACTCGAATGACCCTGGTCAGGGATTTGTCTGAGCAAGAACACATGGGATATTCCTCTCATGACGCTGAGAGTGGATGATCCTCTATCGACACTCAATAGCCCTCGTAAGGTCAACTACCACTCCCAATGACCAGCTGTACTAGATCTGGGACAGCCAAACCTATAAATCTGGTATCAAAGAGTGGAGCACTCATACAGGACATCTTTGGTGTCTCAAGTCTAAGGACCAGATACATCACTAGGACTACGGAATCGCTGTCTGACAATAAGGCATCATCAACCATCCAGCATTCCATAAGCGGATCAATCAGTGAACTCATTCTCCAATGAGCACCTGTACTGTATCCCTAGTGTCCCTACATGAGCAGCTATGAGACCAACTGCATCCATCATATGGACGGGTATACAACACACCAGTCTGTCCGGTTATCACGACGTCCCTCTCGAGTAACCTATGATCGGGATTATTTAGGATATGTGTTTAAAGGTGAATCGATCTCATTATCGTGATCTCATCACGATCCGATTCCCATTGCACAAATCCAAGGACATCACAATATATATATGCATTTATGCAATAGTTATAAAGTGATATACGCCAAAACATAATAAGCAAAAAGATTATGTATCAAGTCACACGTGCCATCACTCATGTGATTGGCTTGCTAGGCACCTATGACTAGCAGCGACCACCTGCATCTCAAGGGCCAACCTGAGTCCTGCTAGGAGCGCCTCGTATTCCGCCTCGTTGTTAGTGGCTTGGAACCCAAAGCGGAGGGAACGCTCGAACGACCGACCGTCGGGAGCTAGCAGCACCAGCCCCGCGTCGACGCCCTTTGAGTTGGCTGATCCGTCGACGTGCAGGACCCATGCTTCGGGAGGTTGCTCGAGATCCACGTCCTCGATCTGGGTTAATTCTGCGATGAAGTCGACCATGGACTGGGCTTTGATAGTGGTCCTGGGCACGTATTGTACGTCATGCTCACCGAGCTCCACCGCCCATTTGAGAAGACGTCCTGCAACATCAAATTTAGACAAGATCTGCCGAAGTGGTTGGTCGGTGATGACCTCCACCGGGTGAGCCTGGAAGTAGGGGCGTAGCTTCCGGGCTGACAGCACGAGCGCGAGTGCCAGTTTCTCAATCGTTGGGTATCGTTCCTCGGGCCCGTTCAGGACGTGGCTGACATAGTAGACCGGAAGCTGTTCGCCAGAGTTTTCTTTGACCAGAACGGAACTGACTACGTGCTGGGAGGCAGCCATGTAGAGGCCTAGCTTCTCCCAAGGAGGGACTGAGGCAAGTCGGGGGAGGCTAGCCAAGTGTTGCTTCATTTGTTTGAAAGCTTCCTCGCATTCGACCGTCCATTGAAAATTCTTCGGGTTCTTCAGCGCCCTGAAGAAGGGGAGGCAGCGATCACCCGATCGGGCAAGGAAACGAGACATGGCGACGAGTCTCCCGTTAAGGCGTTGCAGGTCCTTGATTGTCCGAGGTGACTGTATATTGATGACTACTTGGACCTTCTCCGGGTTAGCGTCGATTCCTCTTTCGTGTATGATAAACCCGAGGAACTTTCCTAAGGTGACGCCGAAGGCACACTTCGCGGGGTTGAGTCGCATGCTGAATTTGCGCAGCGTGGCGAATGTCTCGGCCAGATCGACAAGGTGAGCTCCAGCCTCTTGGCTTTTTACAATCATGTCGTCTACGTAAACTTCCATGTTTCGCCCAATCTGGTGGGCGAACATCTTGTTCACTGTTCTCTGGTACGTAGCCCCAGCGTTTTTCAATCCGAAAGGCATGACCTTATAAAAGTATACCCCTTGGTCGGTGAGAAAGGCTATATGCTATTGGTTTTCGGGCTGCTGTACCACGCGCGGGCTGGCCCCCTCAAAGTCGTTGGAAATGCCCTGCACATCAAGGCGTCAGAAGTCCCATATAGCGCCATCTGAGCGCGAAAAACGGTCACGTGGCCCGCTGGGTCAGTGGCGTCGTCATAGGCGTCCAGCGAAGGGAGCCGGAAGTGCGGTGGGATCGCTTGATCTTGTATTTCGGGCGCGAATGGGGACCCTTAGTGTCTGTCCGCCCCGAGCTCTCCCTTTGACCTGCGAACCTCCTGGTGTACTTCGTCAAGTCGTTGACTAACAAGGCATAACTGGGCTCGCAGGGCGTTCGTCAAGTCCGCAGATGGCGCCTCAGGCTCTGGGCGACTCGCCATATCTTCCGCCTCTCGGTTCCCGGGCTGGGCTATTCAGTTCCGAGCCGAAGCGGGGAGCTCGGAAAGTGGTGCATGAGTCCGGGTGGGGCCCCCCTGCTGATGCAAAGGCCGGGTCATATGCGGGGGCGTCGGTTGGGAGACGAGCGGGATGATAGTTTGCACCACGCTCGTCAGAGCTCGAACTTGATGAGCGAGGTCGTGAAAGGCCTCGAGCGATACTGGCGACGGGCCGGCGGGGGCACCGTCAGGTGGCGATAAACCCGGGTCGTTGAACAACTGCCAGTAGCGTTCTGACGTTGCGGCGGGGCGTTCGTCTCAGGATTCATCACGCGGGGGATTTTCTCCCGGGGTGCTAATCGTGGGCAATCCAACAACCGCGGGTTCGTCAGAGTGGATCTGCTGATCGCTCGACATTCGGACAGGCCCTCCTTCTAGCGCCAATCTGTTAGTGTAAACAACTTTATGCCGTGGCCTCGGGGCCGACGCGGCTTGGTTGGGGGTCCGAATGACGGGGATCTCGCGTAACGTCCCTCAAGATTTCTCAATGGCCGATTACGGCGGTCCGGTCGGGATGTCGCGTCGGGAGGAAAGCTTTTGCCGTAGCACCAGGAAGAGGCGACCCCATTCTCGCACCTGCACACAGGTCGGGCCGGAAGCTCTGCCCAACCCCTCCGACGATCAAGTTAGTGGATGCGGGGGGGATTTTTGTATGAAGACGTGCCCTCTCCCCCTCGTTTAGAACTCGAGGGTATTTATAGGGCAGTTTAGTGTTACCTGATGTGCCTGGCCGCGGGAGCATGATCGTACCTCTGATGGCGTCTGACATCGCCATTAACGTTGCGTGGAGAACCGAACTGCCGTAGGGTATGGGCGTTCCTCGGTGGTCGTTCTCCTCTGCCTCGGTCGAGCGTGTTGGGTCAGACAACGATGAAGTCGTTGTCTGAGAGCGGGTGACGTCAGCGCACATCGCGTCGGCATTATTACCATCTTTGGGCAGAGTGTCGTCCAGGCGTGGCTGACGTCGTGGCGCGTCATGTCGCCATTATTACCCTCATCATTTACAATAACATTCATGTCTCTCTTAGTGTTATATCATTCTAAACAAAGATCTCACGCCTCTCTTAGTGTTATATCATTCTAAACAAAGATCTCACGAAGCTCTCGGAGGAGGGTACGTCGATAACGACAGTGAGGAAGAGGAAGAGATGAGGAGAGATGAGAGGAGGGAAGCAAGGGCAATAGAGCCTTCCGTAATTTTATTTTTTACGAAATAAAAAATATTACGTGCGAATAAACGATAAATGAAAAGCTGATAGGGCAAAAAGCGAATAATTTTTTTTAAGAATTTACCCATAAAAATATCAAACAAAATAGTACGGAATGGTGAAGAGATTCAACTGGCATATCTTTAGGGCAAGACATTTCGTCAAACACTTGGGCGTAATTCCGTCTTCACCCTCACCGGCAAGCCTCCCTCCATCCTCATCGTCATCGCCAGCTGGTGTCTCCCCCTCTCGGCCGCCAACTCCACATCGAACCTCTCCAAGATGCAGGCTGCCAACGCCTTCATCTGGATGTAGGCCATGTCCTTCCCCAAGCACGTCCTCGGCCCCGTGTGGAACACCGGGTAGAATGCTGGGCTTTTTGGCTGGAACACCCCCTCATCTAGCCATCGCTCAGGCCTGAACTGCCCGCCGTCCGGTCCCCATATCGCCTCCCTTCTCCCCATAGCATACGCGTTGTACATCACCAACCATCCCCTTCCCACTCGTACGCCGTCCGGCAGCTCGTCCGCCTCTCGGCACTCCCTCACCACAAGCGGCACCGGCGGGTACAGTCGCAGCGACTCGGATATGGCCGCATGCAGGTAGTTCATGTCCCTCAGTTCCTCCAGCGTGAACGACTCCTCGCCGATGTTTCCTTCTCGTTGTCGAGATCGGATCTGTTTGACTTCATCCCTTATCTTGTCCACCACATCGGGCCGTGAGGAGAGGGCCCAGAAGAACCAGGTGAGCGCCGAGGGCGTGGTGTCGCGCCCGGCTAGCACGAAGCTGATGAGGATGTCGCGAAGGTACTCGTCGGAATTGGCGCTTCCCAATGCAAATCGAGAGAGGAAATCATGGCCGCCGCTCTGCGGGTCTCTACTCGACCGCACACATCGGTCAACAAATCCGTGGACGATCTCCATCGACTCCCGCAGCTGCCGCTCAGTTCCGATGTCGAGCCACTTCTTGATCCTCCAAACGAGCGTGAACGGCTGCATCGCCCGATCAACGCTGAGGCGCGTGGCCTCGTCGAACGCGTGGAAGAACCGCTCCCCCTCCTCGCTTCCACCCCCGAGGCATCTGGGGTCCTCCCCGAACACCAGACTGCAGATGTTGTCGAACGCGAAGCGTTCAAGCACGTCCTGGAGGTCCAACACCAAGCCGCCACGACTGGCTTCCGCCAAACAAGGAAGCAGCCGGCCGAGGAGCTCGTGGCGCACCTTGTCGAGTACGAAGGCGCGGAGGGACCTGGTGTTGAACTCGTAGCTGGCGGCCTTGCGCTGGAGGCGCCACTCCTCGCCGTTGGTGTTGAGGATGCCACCGCCGAGGCAATCGCGGATCGTCGAGATGATGGCCTCGCTCTTAGGGTAGTTGGCGAAGCGAGTCTTGGCGACGTGCTCCACGTTGGCGGGGTTGGCGGTGAAGACGAAGGGGGCGACGGTGACCGTGGGGGTGGGAGAGGCCAGGATGAGCTCCGTGGACCAGTCCAGCATGCGGCGGCTGTTCTTGACGAGATGGGGAATATTACCTACGACGGGGTAGCTCCCGAGGGGGGTGAACTTGCCCGGATTACTACTGTGTCGCGAGCATCGGGGCTTGAAGAAGAGAAGAAGGGCGGAGAAAAGGAGCGAGAAGAAGAGGACAAGGGACAAAAAACAGAGCTCCATTTTGCCAACTGCGTTGCCCACCCTCCTCAGTCCTTACCGAGGAGATTGTTGGCGTGTTGGTGACGGTGTTCAAGCTGCCGCCCTAAAACAATGAGAGAATTGTTGAGGCGGGGAGAGGACAGAACTGGAAAACCAAAAACCTTGTAATTGATCTGTGATTGGACTTTTTTGGATGATCCTGTATCTCTTGGAAAGCAAATCATAGAGGATCTGTGGCACGGATTTTTTACACTTTAGTTAGATCATATGTTACGTTGTTATCAAATCATATAGAAATCATAATATGTTATTTTCAAACATTTTTTAAAGAAAAATAAAAACGATCTACAACCAAAACGGGTTCCCACCTCACCTGTGGGTTTCAGATCAATCATAAGACCTGAGAAACGTTTGACATCTCGATCATGTGCGCTTCAGTCTGTAGATGCAGTCAACACAGAACGGATCAAAGTTGGAATGCATGATGAGCATGCTGAATTTATTATGTGATGTTTGGTTGGCACTGTCGGTAACTTCTTGTAATGGTCGGACGCAGGAAGCGACATGGTTTAGGGATCCATCACTTGTCATCGCACTTCCCATCCCAAGCGGCTACATGCACTGTTCTTTAAGCTTCAAAGATGCAAGAAGAAAATTTGTTGACATAATCTCAGTTGAAGTTCTACCGAACGCTGCGCTGCGCATCGAAGAAAGCGAACACCAGTAAGTCTAACCAGTCATTTCATCAAACACCCTCGATCGCCTTCACCCTCACGGGCAGGCCTCCCTCCATCCTCATGGTGAACGTCAGCAGGTGACGCGGCTGCCTCCTCTCCTCCGCCACCTCCACGTTAAACCTCTCCAAGATGCCGGCCACCAGCGCCTTCATCTGGATGTAGGCCATGTCCTTCCCCAGGCACATCCGCGGCCCCGCGTGGAACACCGGGAACACGAACGGGCTCTTCGGCCGGAACACTCCCTCCTCGTCCAGCCACCTCTCTGGCCTGAACTCACCGCAGTCCGCTCCCCACACTCCTTCCCGCCTCGCTATGGCGTAGGCGTTGTACATCACCGTCCATCCCTTCCGCACCCGCGCCCCGTCCGGCGTCTCGTCCTCCTCCGCGCTCACGCGCGGCAGCAGCGGCACCGGCGGGTACAGCCGCAGCGACTCCGATATTGCAGCGTGGACGTAGGCCATCTCCCTCAGCTCCTCCAGAGTGAACGTCGCTGCCTCCTCACCGTCGTTTCCCGGTTGCCGCCGAGACCGGATGCGCTTGACCTCTTCCCTTATTCTGTTCACCACGTCGGGTCGCGAGGAGAGGAGCCAGAAGAACCAAGTGAGCGCCGAGGGCGTCGTGTCGCGCCCGGCGAGCACGAAGCTGATGAGGATGTCGCGGACGTACTCGTCCGAGTTGGCGCCGTCAGCCGCGAACCGGGAGAGGAAGTCGCTTCCCATGTCGCTCTTGATCGGTGTTGATCTTCTCGCTTTCACGGCCTTCTCGATGACGTCGTGGACGATCGACATCGATTCGCGGAGACACCTCTCCGCACCGACGCCCAGCCATTTCTGCAGCTTCCACATCCAGGCAAATGGCCAGTTCATCCTCTCGATGCTGAGGTGCGCGGCCCGGTCGAACGCGTGGAAGAACCGCTCCCCCTCCTCGCTGCCGCCTCCGAGGCACTTGGGGTCCATCCCGAACACCAAACTGCATATGTTGTCGAAGGCGAACCGCTCGAGCACGTCCTGAAGGTCGACGACGTCGCCGCTCCGGCTAGCCCTGTTCAGGAGGGGGAGCAGCCGGCCAACGAGCTCGCGGCGGGCCTTGTCGAGGACGAAGGCGCGGAGGGACCTGGTGTTGAACTCAAAGCTGGCAGTCTTGCGCTGCGACTTCCAATCGGCCCCGTTGGAGTTGAAGATGCCGCGACCGAGGAAGTCGTGCAGGGTGGCGACGTCAGCGTCGCCCTTGGGGTAGTTGCCGAAGTTGGCCTTGGTGACGTGCTCGACGTTGGCGGAGCTGGCGGTGAAGACGAAGGGGGCAACGGTGACGGTGGCGGTGGGGGAGGCGGCGACGAGCTCCGTCACCCATTCCAGGAGGCGGTGCCGGTTCTTGACGAAGTGAGGGAGGTTCCCGACGACGGGGTAGCTCCGTAAGAGGGTCAAGTCAGCGGGCTCGGGAGGACGCGAGCGTCGCCTGCAGAAGAAGAGGAGGGAAGAAAAGAAGAGAACGAAGAGGGCGGCCACGGAGCAGACGACCATTTCCAGCACCATAATTGAGTCGCCTTTGGTTGTCATCGCAGGCCTTACTAGAAAGAAGAGAAGCGCGCAGGATAACACAGAAGTCGCGTGACTACGGCTTCGGCAAGTGCGCCAATTTAGTGCACCAACCGGAATCCACCGTCTCCAGTCACATGCGTCAGTTCAGGGTTCTATTTAATGATAGAGTCGGCCTTTCGTTGTCACCGCTCGCCATACTCCAGAGAAGATAAGCGCATCGGATAACTCAGACGTCACGTGACTACAGCTTGTGCGCACTAAGCTATTGTACCGTGTTCGCGGGAATCCACCGTCTCCGGAGGCATTGGTGATGATGCGTCAGTTAACGGTTCTATTTAATGGTGTCTCTATCTGAGGGCAACAAGTCCCTCAAACCCTTCAAACAAGTCCGTCTATGAACTGCACGTTAGCAGTGGGCAAAGCCGCAAAGGTACTTCGTTAACTAGGCGTAAACGGTGTCTCAATAGCGAACCCAGTCTTAGTCTTCGAGTGAAAGACGTTTTACATTTATACACATCGAGGAAAGTACTGTTGTCGTTCAATCATATTTATGGATATAAAAAATTATTTCTGAATTAAGAATTGATGAGACGTTAAAAATATAATGTTTCAAGATCGATCATTTGCCCGATTTGGTAGTTTTCATGATTCTTTATTATTGTTATCAATAATTTTTTTTATCATGCTAACGTAAAATTGTGCTGCCATCACGGATGATAATGTAGAAGCGGTGCATTTGGAACATCATACAAACTAAGTGATTTTGTAAGAAAGTCTATAAGTTGATTAAAAATATAGACACGAGATACATATAATTATTTCTGATAATTTGATTTTTGATGTAGTGAAATTAGATTATTATATTTCATATGAAAATAAAATATCAAATTTGAGTATAAATAGATGGCATGGATATTGTCATAATATATTATTGGACTAGGTTGAAAAGTGATATCGAGTTTATGGGGCAGGTTGATAATCTAGTTGAGCTCTAGTGACAATGACACAATACTCAATTTTCATACTCGATTATGCGACTATTTTTTATTTGTCGGAGCTTTTGATAGAGTTTGTTTTGATAAAGATAATATATACTAATATAAATATTTTATCGTTAGTATTGCCTATCCAATCATAATGAATGCACGAAGATGAAAGGATAATTATTTTCAAAAATAAAAGTCAAGAGTCCCTTTAAGATATTATACAATATACCTTGGTATAGACAAGTAGTGGAAGGATCAATACATGGACTATAATAATTTATTGACTATAAATAGAATGTTTGGACTAATAAGAGGTAATTACTTTACGAACCAAAGTACATATTGATACTATATGAAATTCTTAGTAGGACTAATATCTTATAATTTGAATGACTTAGTGGAGAAGAGTATGGTAGCTATCTCTTTAGTATTTTACATGTTTGTTCTTGATAATACATCTAAAATATACTTATTTTGAGAGAGAAAAAGATAATGAATGTGAATACAACCTCTACATCAAGAAAATAACTTAGTAGCCATAGATCCTTAATATAGAATTTATTTATTAGTTGCTTAAGGAATTATTTGATCTTAATAGAGTTATCTGTTGATGAGGATAATAATTACGATAAGACTTGCGTGATACCCGCTGACGTCCCACTCCCCTGTTAGTCCAATACCGCGTGACTGACACGGGTTGGAACGCCAACCGAGGCCCATTAACGATCGCTCATGTTCGATTCCACACGCTACGCCGATAGCAATGTCAGATGTCATCAGAAGGTACGATCCTACCCCCTGCGGGCAGGCACATCAGGTAACACCGAACTCCCCTATAAATACCCTTGCATTCTTAACGAAAAGGGGGGGAGAAGAAAAAACAACCTCACCACGATTATTTACTGACTTGATCGTCGAGGGGTCGGGTCGAGTTCTCCCGT